TGGGTCTCTACTACATCTTATGCTTAACCGGTAGCTTCGTGCATCTCACAGACTGTCTTCAGGGAATCCCAATTGGCCTCATGTTGACAGGCCTTCTGTGATTTTCTGTGAGTTAAGGATGGAAAGCTTCATAACCTTGTAGCCCTTGCCTTCTTCATTCCTGCAAACTGCCATCCCAGAACCATACCAGCCCCGACACTAACTTGAACAGTAACGTGATTTCTTTCTCTCTCAGAACAGTGCTCCTTTTACAAAACTACAAGTTGTTGTTGTTTTTTTTTTTTAATGTTTTCTTTTGCAGTTTGTATTCCAATTTACACTACACACCTGGTTGAAGGTACCAGCAAAGCTCACACCACAGCTTAAGTCCAGTGTTGTCTTGAATACCCTGTTAGGGCATTCCACCACCTTTGAATTTCGGCCTTCTACAAAGTCTCAGGATATGGACAAAATCGAGACAACATCCTGTATCTAGTCTAATAGTTTTGTATCTACCTTCCTAATGCTGAGACACTTTAATACAGTTTCTCATGCTGCGGTGACCCCAAACTATATGATTATTTCATTGCTGCTTCATCACTGTAATTTCATACGGTTATAAATTGTAATGTAAACGTCTGAGATGCACAGTATCTGACATGAACCCTCTGCCACCAGAGGAGTGTTGGCGTAAAGGGTGAGAGCCACGGCTCTAGTCCAATGTGCCAAAGTGGTACTGGAAGCCAAGTCCTAATTGTCCTCATTCCTGTTGCGCCTGGGTCCTCTCGGCGCCACCAGAATGGCCCAGCTAAGCTTTATTTATAACACTCCAGGTTGTTTTTCTTAGCCTGAGCCTCTGAACTTTTCCAGTTGTCTCCCACAAACCAGTTCTAAAGGCCAATGAGCCACCACATCGGGTACAGTCACAGCTGTGACCTCAGGGTTTGGTACTTCTTTTTTGCGTTGGTCTGTATTTTCACCTTAGTAACTGTTTAGAGGGAGGAATATTTGTTTTGGATCATGGTTCCAGATGCCTCAGTTCTTGGTTGACTCAGCCCACTACATTGAGCCTGAGGTCAGGCACAACAACAACAGGGCAGTAGCAGCATGTTCCCGCTGCTCAGCTCATGGTGATGAGGCTAGTCTGTAGCCTTGAACATGCGAGCTTGTGGGTGACAATATATTCCAGGCTTAACACTAGTGGTTGTTTTTTGTTTTTGTTGTTTTTTACAAAGGAGGAACTGAAGGAACTTAGGGAGGCGACATACCATTTACATTATTTACTGAGGATATTTCTTAAGTATTTCCAAACCATTCTACTCTGTTGAAATGCTGCTTCCTGAGTCCTAGAGGATCTGGGAGCCAGCATTTTCTGGTTTTCTTCCCAGCGTGGACTTTGCAATTCTTTCCCACCCAGTCCCATGTTTTGGAAGATGGGAACCGCTGGCTTTATACAGAAGCCAGTCTTGTTTTATAGCTCTGTAATTGTGCTTTGATTGAGGTTTACTCTGGAGCTTGTGTTTTCCCTGCCTTACTTTCTCTACTGCTTTTTGATTTTGCTTTGGCTGGTAGAAAGAGGGCATTCTTATTGCATAAAGAGTCATGTATTTTGTGGGTTTGGAGCTAAGAAGAAATCCACACTGGCAGATACATGGCAGGCATCATTCTCCATAAGCCACTGGTCATAGACATTCAAGGACACTGGGGTCTAGTTATTTAACTCCTGATAGAAAATTACAAAAAAAGTATCTTTTGTAAAGAACTTTAATAAAGTAATTTTAATTTGAACAGATTATTTTTATTCTGCTTATGAAAAATGCTCTTTCAGTGTTCCGTCAATTACAGTGGTCATGAAGAAATATTTGAAATTCCCTGAAGATGTGAATACTTGGATGGTTCCCTTTTTCTGTCTCACTTGAGACTTTGAACTGCCTCCCTTACCCACTTCTTTAATTTTGTGGTTTGTTTATGCTGGCTTAACTTTGCAATCATGAGATTTTTATGTTCAAGGAGAAAAGTACTGACTAGACAGTCACTTCACAAACACCTTTTTAAGAGACACAATTAAATGTAAAACAATTTCTTTTAACCATTATTAAAATGTATGTTTGCTTCCATTGTTTATACCTAAAGTAGATGCAAAATAACCAGTGTGTGTGTGTGTGTGTGTGTGTGGTGGTGGTGGTGGTGGTGGTGGGGAGGGGGTGCAAGGATACCATTCCAACCCAAATAATAAATTTGCACATTTCATAATGGAAACAGCACCCCCTAGTGGAAAAGGCTGTATAATGGTTACCAAATTGTTTTCATAAAATTTCATTGCGGTTTTGAAATTCAAAAGTGGACGTAACTAGTTGGAAGACTATTAGTATATTTTTGGTGTTATTTAACCACCAGCTCTATAATTCAGTTTTTGTTGCTCTGTAAACACCAACCAGTCACTTTTTTCTGCCCTTGTATTCTTTCATTTCATATATATGTGTGTGTGTATATATATATATACATATATATATATACATACATATATATGTATATATACATATATATGTGTATATATCAGATATACCATATTAAATGGGTTCTACAGCCCATGACAGTTGGTGTTTCATTCATCCCTACATGGCATGTCTTGACCAAACCCCTGTCTTCTTATCAGGCTTAGGGATCTATGTAGAAGTGGACACACAAGATCGTAAGAGCCAGAGATGGTGGAAAATGTCAAGGAAACCGTGTCTTTCAGCCATAGCACAACTAATGTACGTGTGAACTCACAGAGACTGTGACAGCATACTCAAGACCTGCACAAGTTCAAACCAGACAAAATCTCAGTAGTGAGAAGGGAAATTAACACAAAGTCCCACACTTAGCTAAGAAAATAGTCCTAGCTTATACCTACCAGGAGAGGAAAAATCACTTTTCTCCATCAGAATGTTACTGAGTATATCAAACACCCTCTAGGGTTTGCTCCTTACCCAGGACTAGTTAGCCAACACAAAATGGACTCTATTTTGTTAGTGTGTATGCTTTCTTTTTTATTGTTGTTGTTGTTTAATTTTTTTTTTGTCTTACTAGGTTTTGTTTGTTTATTTTAATTTTTTTTTCTTTTTCTCTTCGTCTTTTGTGTGAGAGAAAAAAAAACCATGAAGTTGGAAGATGGTGGAGAATCTGGGATGAGTTGAGGAAAGGAAAAGAATATGAACAAAATATATTGTATTTAAGAAATTTTAAAAACCTTTAACAATAAAAAGAAAAAAAGGAAGAATGGAATCAATGAGAGAGATGGACCACGTAAGTGTGATCTGTACTCCTTCCTTCACGGTGCGGAGGAAGTCTGAACTCCTGGCAGCTGGCACTCAAAGAAGACCATAACGTCTCTGAGAGGACACATTCAGTACTTTTCAGACACAAGAAAACTCTAAGGCTAAGGCTGGTATCTATTGCGGCACTAGAAAACCTTGAGGGCTGTCCCTAAGGTGAAGGAGAAAATGGAGAGAGGCTACAGCATAACCTACAGGGCCACTGTCCTGGAAAAAAAGAAAAAAAGAAAGAATTGGTAACAGTGACATAAGGAGGGCTGCAAAGCAGGATATGAAAAATGTCAAGATGACCCATGGACCAGACCGATCTGGAGGCAGCCATTTGAGAAAGAATTAATAGCGAGAGACAGAGATTTTCCTTCTGTGGAGCCCACCTGCGGCCAAGCAAATGAGCGCGAGGGAGCGTGTACGTTCACTGCGTCTTACTCTGTGTTTTTCACGGAGTTTCTCGCTGATTTATAAGCACAAGGAAATCTTTGGTGTGCGTTCGTTATGCATATGAATCATAGCATTAGGGGAGTGTTGCTTGTTCACACCAGTCAGTTACAAAAGATAATGGACGTCCCCATCGAAACATTAAACTAAAATAAATAAATAAATAAATAAATAAATAAATAAATAAATAAATAAATAAATAAATAAATAAATTATAGAACTCTGTTTAGCCAAAACAGCCTTCAAGATCGAGAACATAAGGGAGATCTGCTCTTTGACAACTAAACTTGAGAATTTCTGAAAGAACAGACTTACAATAAAGAACCTACATAAAGAACTTTGTAGATTTGATTTTTGGCTAGGTGAAGAAAAATATTCTATAGTGAAAAAAAATGCCAGAAAAATTAAAAAGAAAACGTTTAAACTAATTTGATTGAGTAATGACTGTGGACAGAGAGCAATAACAATAACTTTTTTGAGATTTTAAACTGTATCTAAAAAGAAAATACTTGATACTAATTAACGAAAGATGAGAAGTGGAGTGAAACTGTCCCCATGTTCTCAGAACACAGAGAAAGATGAAGTACTGACTCATTTTTAGAATTTTAACGGAATTTAGGAGTATGCACTAATTGGTGGGGTAACTATAAACAATAGAATAATAAATGGATACAATGGAATAATAAATGGATAAGAGGGAATTATGACAATAATCCAAATGAGCCCATAAATGTACATCTGAATGTTATGCATGTGTTAAAGATTGTCAAGTTGAGCACAAACATAAATCCAGAATATACCAATATTAAATATTTAAACATGAGATTACAGAACTTTAAGAGTGAAAGAAAGAATGTGTATGAGGCAAACAACAGACAAAGCCATTGTAGCCGTTGTATCAGACCAAATGAACTTAAAATCATTAGCAGAAATTAAGACTAGTTCATAGTAGCAGCAGTAGTAGTATTTACAATGTAATTGTAAAGTGTAGCAATAATGAGATACTAAGTAAGTGCTAAATAATCAGATGAAAATGAAAACATGTAGCAAAGCGAGCAGAACAAACGTGAAAAATAAAACCCATGATATCACTGCGAGATTTTCACGTAGCCATCTTGTAGAGTGACACAAAATATAGAAAGACTAAGTCATTGGAGATGCATGTTGAATGATGACTGTGATAGTCATATCATAGAAGAAGAAGGAGGAGGAGGAGGAGGAGGAGGAGGAGGAGGAGGAGGAGGAGGAGGAGGAGGAGGAGGAAGAAGAAGCCCCTGGCAATGGGCGAAGAGACACCTTGTTGGTGGTGGTGTTCTTATATCAGTCAAGGGCAGAGCAGATGGCAGTCCTGTGTTCATCCTAGCTTGATGCCTGGCTTGGTGGTCAAAGCTGTCTCATGCCCAGGACACAAAAATCAATTCAATTCCAGGCAGCACAACCCAGGAGCTCAAAGACAGACAGACCTGAGGACCACCATGCCACCCATAGACTTCCCCTCCCGAGCATGGTACAGGAGGGCCATAGACACCCTCTTGCCATCACATCATGTAGCACTGATGGACGATGTCATCTAAGAATCGGCCAGCTTCGTGACCAGCCTGCAGCAGGAACCACCACAATGTGTGGGTATGTGAGCCCTGTGACCAGGGGAGCCTGCCCTGAGCAAGAATAAGGTCAAGATGCATCCAAACTCTGAAAGTACCATCTTGGGACCAGCAGGAGTAAGGATTGAACCCTTCTTGTTCTGGGCCTGCATGTCCTGGCGCACATAGCCTTGCGACCCCCACCTCAGCCACCCTTGATACAGTCTCACCTGGAGGCCTATTTCCTTATAAAGACGTGTCCAGGTACACCTGGAAGTCCTCTTTATGCAAATAAAGCATTCCCAGAACCTTAGCCCCAGCCAATGATGAAAGAAAACAATCACTGAAAGAAAACAAAACAAAACAACAACACCAAAAAAAAAAAAAACCAAAACAAAACAAAACAAAACAAAACAAAAAAAAAACCCTACCCACTCCTCAAGGTTTATATAGCCCTTACGACTATTTAAATAAAAAAAAAAAAAAAAAAGCTGTTTCACTGAAAATCATCTCAGGGAAGGCTTTTTACCCTTCCCACCCTTCCCCCGCACTCACGCTGGGCTGAGATCCTGCTAACCCACGCAGCAAGCTAAGCTTCATTCCCTCAATCCAGTTGGGTGCAGACCACAGTGCATGGATACCCTGAGGCCAGAAGCAATCACGTGGTGGACACATACGAGAGAAAGCACTGGAGCCGCTTGAGCATTATGAAAGGAACGGAACAGGAGACTTGAGGGTGGAGAGGAGTAACCTGTTATGAGAGGTCCCAGCTCGAGCTGCCACTGGGGGCCATGTCTTGAGTCCACGGCTATTCAGTGGCAGGGGTCAGTATCAGTGTCTGCGGCTCATATTACCACTGGAAAACATGGGGGTGTCCCTGGTCAGGGCAGCCTCTGGGGACCACCCGGATGTCCAGAGGCTGTGCATACCTGGCCCCGCCCCTCACTGGATGTGCTGCTCTGGAGAGCTGACCCCATCTCTCACTGGAGGCAGAACATGGGAGAGCAGGCTCTGTGCCTCACCCAGGCAGCACGGTAGAGCTCTGGTGGGCAGTGAGGTGCACAGGGGAGAGAGCACTGGAAGTGAGAGCCTGGGAAAGCTGGTCCCACCAGCTGGCCATAAGGTGGCGTGGGTGCAGGGGCGATTCCCTTCCCCCCTCAGCCCTTCCAACCTGTGGCAGTTGGGAGAACTGGCCCCGAGGCCATGAGAGCTGGTGAGCTGGCCCTGTCCCTCTCAGGGTGCACCACTTGGGAGAGGCCCTGTACCTGGTCTGGGCAGCACAGAAGAGCTAGCCTTCTTGGAGGAGGTGCAGATGAGTGAGCTCTGAGGGAGAGAGCTAGAGGGAGCCATTAATCTGGTGCGAGGTGGTGCGGGTGAGGGGTGATGCCCTCTCCCTTTTCCCTTGCCACCTGCAGAACCTGGAGACCTGCCCCCGGAATTATGAGAGTGGGAGAACGAGCCCTGCCCTCTGCTGACAGTGGCACTGGGTGGCCTAGCGTGAGCAGTGCTGACCAGCTCAGTTACTACCCAGGCCCAGAACCAGGGCTCACCCTGGCGGTGTAGAGAGAGCTGACAGGCTGACCAGCTCAGTTACTACCCAGGCCCAGAACCAGGGCTCACCCTGGCGGTGTAGAGAGGGCTGACAGGCTGACCAGCTCAGTTACTACCCAGGCCCAGAACCAGGGCTCTGAATCGGCTCACTCTGAAATCTACATCATGTGACAAAGGTTGAAAGGCATGAAAGGCCCAGTCCTATTATTCCAAAGCTGCAGGATCTCCATGACACAGGGCAACAACAGGCTAACCAGGACAAGTCCCGATGAGGACCCAATATTTGAAGGTGTCACAGAAGCCAGAGATCTCGAACCACGCCAATGATTCATTGCAATGAACATTTATAAGTGAAGATGTGTGGACAGGAGGGATATTCTGTACGGCACATTTTACAGTCTACAGCTTCCATGATGAGATATTTTCTGTGCTTGTGTATGTTATTTGGGGGGGGGGGCTTGCAAGGGGAAAGAGTAGATATGAGGGGGTAGAAAGATGAGCAGGACTAGGGTGCATGATATGAAACTCAAAAAGAATCAATAAAAAGCTAAAAAGAAAGTTAGCTGGCTCAGTCAGGGTTTCTATTGTTGTGATAAAGCGTCTTGACCAAACACAACTTGGAGAGGAAATGGTTTATTTCAGCTTGCCTCTCTCATCACTGAAGGAAGGCAGGGCAGGAACTCAAGAAAGGAATTTGGAGGCGAGAGCTGAAACGGAAGTCATGGAGGAGTGCTGCTTACTGGCTTGCTCCTCATGGTTTGATCGGCCTGCCTTCTAATACCTGCCCAGGCTTGGTACCACCCATAGTAGACCAGGTGCTCCACAGCAATCACTAAGAAAAGGCCCTGTGAAACTTATGGGGGCATTTGCTCAGTTGTGGTTTTCTCATCTCAGTTAACTCGAGCTTGTCTCAAGCTAATTGCTGAGGGGCACACACAAGACAGGACACACACACACACAAACAGAGGGCACTAGCTGTTGAAGCTTCAGGTTTCTGCTACTATAAATTTCCTGCCACCAGGCACTGTGATCTGGAACTGAGACCTAATATAAGTCTTCCTCCCTTACATTTTTTTTTTTGTTTGTTTGTTTTGCATAGCCCCCTTCTATAGAGGAGGCTGGCCTTGAACTCCCATAGATCTGCCTGCCTCTGGACCTTGAGTGCTAGGATTAAAGGTGTGTGACACTATGTCTGGCTCAAATTTGATCTCTCTATCATATATCAAGCATCACACCTAGCAGCTGAAGCTGAAAATGGTTTGATTTTTAACTCTTCATTAAGCACGTGTTACATTTAATAGATGCTGGATTACAAAATCATCCCTCAAAGTTGGAAATGATTAACATTTTGTAGAATATATTACCTTAATCAAGAGATTAAAGTAATAATAAAACAAACATATCTAGGAGATCTTCAAATATTTGAAAAGTAAGCTGCATGTGTCTAGGTGTCTAATAAACAGAAGTCAAAATGGAAATCTGACAGTATTTAAGAAAACAAAATATATGAAATTTTGTGATACTGTTAAAACCTTGCTTTAGAGAAATGTATGAGACTTGAAAAGTAATTTTTCATTTTTCCAAAAAACAAATGAAAGCTTGAAACCAATTACAGTGATTTTAAGACTTTATAAAATAAAGTGCAAGTTAAAATCAAATAATTATGAGAAAAATGAAAAATGTAAAAACAAATAATAAACAGAGAAGAAAACTTATACTAGAATCCTAAACAGTCAAAAATTGGTGCTCTTGAAAGACCAAGTAGGAAAGGAAATGGCCTAGAATATGAGTGTCATCAATCACTGTGGGGATTCTACACTGTTAAAAGGTAATGATGTCATAAGCAACTTTGCTGAACAAGTTTGCTATTTTATAAAGTTAGTGAAAAAAAAAAAAGAAAGAAATGTGGACATTTGTAACTATTACATTAGACAAAAAAAAGTAACTCTTGCATTAGTTACTTTTCTGTTGGTGACATAAAACAACATTATTGTGACAATTTATACAGGGAGGCATGAATTTGGGCTATGGTTTCAGAGACCTAGAGTCCATGATTACTAAGTAGAGATATGTTAGCAGGATGTTTAGTGTTCACATCTTCAATCACAGGAGGAAGCAGAGAGCAAACTTGGAACGTTAGAAGGCTCTTAACCTCTCAAAACCCATCCTCAACATTGTTGGCTAGTTTTATGTTGTTTAGTTTTTGTATTTGTTTGTTTGGTTGGTTGTTGTTTGTTTATTTATTTAGTTTAGTTTTGTTGTTAACTTGACACAAGCTGGAGTCATTTGGGAAGAGGGATTCTCAACAGAGAAAATACCTCCATAAGATTGGCTTTTAGGCAAGTCTGTCAGGCAATTCTTGATTAATCCTTGATGTAGGAGGGCTCAGCTCATTGTGGGCCCTGGGCTGGTGGCCCTGGAAGCTATAAGAAATTAAGTTGAGCTGGTTGGGAGACTTTTATTGACTGTTTCTAGGACTAAATAGTTAAACTGTTAAACTGATCTTAATTTAACTTTGGTAAATGAAATCTATTAAGAAAATCATCCATTTCACTTAGATTTTTCCAGCTTTGTGGCATATAGGCTTTTGAAGTAAAACCTAATGATTCTTTGGATTTCCTCAATGTCTGTTATGTCCCTCTTTTCATTTCTGATTTTGTTATTTTTGGATATTATTTTTCTGTCTTAGTAAGTTTGGCTAAAGCTATGTCTATCTTGTTGATAGTCTCACAGAGCAAATTGGCTTTTAGTTTCATTGATGTTTTGTTCTGTTTTCTTTGTTTCTAAGTTACTGATTTCAGCCTGCTGTCTACTCCTCCTTGGTGTGTTTGCTTTTTGTTCTAGAGCTTTCAGATGTGCTGTTAAGTTGCTGCTATGTGGTCTCTCCATTTCTTTATAAAAGTGCTATGAACTTTCCTCTTAGCAACCAAAAGAGCAGGCATGGACTAGACCTAGGCCGCCTACACGTATTTAGTTGATGGACAGAGTGGTCTTCATGTGCATCCCCTAGCAATTGCAGCTGGGATGTCTCTGACATGGACTCTGTTGCCTGCTTTTGAATCAATTTCCCCTAGCTCGGCTGTCTTGTCTCGCCTCAGTCTAAGAGGATGTGTTTAGTCCTGATGAGTCTTGATGTGTTGGGACAGGTAGGTGGGGGGTAGGGTGGTCCTCTTTTAGGGAGTGGGCTAAGAGGGTTGGAGAGTGAAACTGAAGTGAAAGGAGGGAGGTGGCTTCGACTTGGGTGTAAAGTGAATAAACAAATTAATTAATGAGAAAAAA